TTTTTTTTTTTTTTTTTTTGTTCAGGACGTCTCTTTGATAAAGATGGAAATTTGAAAGACTGGTGGTCTCAAAGCTCGACAACGAATTTCCTATATAAAGCCCTTTGTCTTGTTAGACAATACAAGAATTATGAAGTGTTTGGGCATAATGTAAGTAGTTACCTGTAATCGCTCTTTTGCCATAATCTCCTCAGAACCGTTTGCCGCAAGGGGGGTCACATGACTTGACTAACAGGCTCCAGTGGTTTAAACGCTGGATAATGCTATCCAATGGATAAATCACTATCCAATGGATCCAATCGTGTCATTCACTGGATAGAGATTCATCCAGTGGATAGCGTTATCCAGCTTTCGGATAACTGGTTCCAGTTCTGGAATAACCAACTTTCTGTTTTTATTGTGACAATTCGCCGGTCTCCATTCTCACAATAGTGTGTATCTGTTCAATGATATTGTTCCTTTTGATTGCTTTACAGATAAACGGTGAACAGACCTTGAATGAGAACATAGCTGATAACGGAGGGATAAAACTGGCATATGACGTAAGCTACGGGAAATTTATATTCGTCGTATCTGTTTGCGACTTTCACGTTCCCGTAATGCAATTTGTTTTCGTCACAAAGTTTTGCATCAGTACCGTACCTTTTTTTGGTTAAGAATCTTATTACTGTTAATTATTTAAAGTTTCAATTAGTCAAGTAGGTTACAATTATGTAGTGTAGTTCACTTAGCCTGATGATTTTTTTTAGCCGTGGATAAATAAAGTTGTTGTTGTTGTTATTGTAAACAAAAAAATATATCCAGTTGTAAGCCCCCCCGGATAAAAGGTCCCCCCGTTCATATACCCTCCTAAAACGTCTTTCCAATACAAATTGAGCCCCTTTTCATCGCTGCCCGCCGCTTGGGACCTCTTTAGTGAAATGTCCCAACGACGAGGATTGCTGAAAGGTGACTGTATTCGCAGGCTAAGAGTTAAAGATAGGGACCGCTCTTAGTGTCCGTATTAGAGAGGTTATGATCCTTATAGAGAGTCAATTAATAGGATTAAAGAAAGGCAGGGACCACTCTAACAGTCCTTATTAGGGAGGTTTCAGTCTTATAGAGAATCAACTTAAAGGAGTAACGAAAGGCAGAGAGCCACTCTAAATGTTCGTTTTAGCGAGGTGTTTGTCTCATAGAGAGTCAGCTAAAAGGAAAAACCAAAGGTAGGGACCGACTCTAGGTGTCTGTTTCATCGAGGTGTTCATCTAATAGATAATCACATAAAAGGAGTAAAAAGGGCATGACCGCTCAGCTCTAGGTGTCTGGTTTAGGAAGGATCCCTCGAGTTTGTTAAGAAAGAGTTGACTGTTTATTATTATAACCATTTTACCCTGTACTGCCTTAGTTGCGTTTCCGTTTACCTGTCTCTTTTATACAGGCATATAAATCTTGGGTGTCGGACAACGAAAAGGAAGGGCAGCTACCGGACTTGAATTTGAGCGTGGATCAACTTTTCTTTATAGGATTCGCTACGGTAAGTTATGTACATATCGAACACTACCTAGGGACAACAGTGTATTGTTGCAACAAACTTTCCTCAGTAATCTGCTCCCGTAAAACTTGCTACATGGTCTTCATCCTCTACAGTATACTATTACGGCTTATTTGAAATATTTGCCTGCTGCCACAACACATAACTCGATATATCAGTCTGTAAAATGTATCGATGTACAAGTAAAGATGACTTTCATGACGTGATGTACTCACGAAGCATATATATTTTGTCCAATCTTTGTTAGCCATGGTGTAGT